ATCCCTGATCCAATGTAAAGGGAGTTTCCCTGGAGTGTGGTGTGCACCACCTTTTATCTTACAAGAGATAAGAGGGAAATGAGCAGAGAGTTGGGGACCTCATACCACCAAGAAAGCAGCACTGGGAACAGAGCGTGTCCTTTGGATCCAGGGTTCCTGCACAGAGAAGCTCCTAGTCTGGGGAAAGACTGATGACAAGGACCTTCCTCCAGAGCCGACAGAGAGAGACAGCCTTCCACTGGAGCTGATGCCCTGAATTTGGACTTCTACCCTGCTAGACTGTGAGAAAATAAATTTCTCTTTGTCAAAGCCATCCACTTGTGGTATTTCTGTTATAGCAGCACTAGATGATTAAGACAGGCCCCTAAGGGTACTGGCCACCTGGAATAAAAACGTTGTTTTCCAGCTTCACTTGCAGCCAGGTGTGACCTTAAGACACACATAAGTTCAGACAAAAGAGATCCAAACCCAAGTGTCATGGACAGCTTTGGGAAATGTCCTTAAATGGACAGGATATGCCTTTCTTCTCTTGTCCTTGCTGGCTGGAATTAGATGTGATGGCCGGAACATGAACAGCTATCATGGATTATAAGAAGGAACCACATGCTGAGGATGGGGAACAACAACAGCGAGGAGCCTGCATCTCTGACACCTCAGAGTATCATCCAAGCCCTGGACTCCTTACCGCTGGACTTCTAATGTGTAAGAAATAAGCTTTTCTATCTTGCTTATGGCACCATTATTTGGGGTTCCCTGTCACACGCAGTCAAGCTAATCCTAACTGATCATCTATGACATATTCAAGCAGAAATGTCAAACAGGGAACTGGATACATAAGTCAGAGGTCTGGGAAGTCCTTCTGTCTGTAAATTCCATTGCCATCACGCTCCTAAGTAAAACCTGAAATGAAAATCCTACTGTACTGTTTCACACAGAGGAGAAGGGGAAAGAGTAATTTGATACTTTGTATTTCATTTTGCACTGAAGGAAATCGCCAGTCACCATTCTTCTTTTGAAAACAGGACAACGTCTTTTGAAAATGAGCCCAGCTTTTCTACATGATTTCCTCATATGCATCACTTAAATAGTGCTGTTAAGCAGTTTATTTTGATGATGATCACACTGTCAATTGGACACCAAATGGATCTCAATATGTTCAGAGCTAGATTGATAATACTTACCTAAGCCTAAAAGATCTCAGAGGTGAGTCTCTAGAGGTCTCTCACAGTTTCCGGGATCACAGTCCAGTGACTATCTCTCCCCATGGGTGACCCTCCAGCACTGTCACCACTGGACGCAAACACGGCTCGTTTATCCACAGAGAACCCACTTCTACAGGGGTAGCTGGCTCCAGCAGACAAAGAAGTTGGCTCGGGGCAGCTCTAGACTACCTAGAGACAACTTCTCAACTCGGAAGGGAGTCACTGGACTGCCTGTTTTCAACTATTTTACCACAAACATGGCACAATGCATGAAGCAAGCTCAAGTACTAACTTATAAAAGGGACAGTGGTGATAGGTAATAGGTAGGAGAGGAGACATGAGAGAGGCCAAACAATGCCCTGGTGGCATATGGATCCCGTACTTCTACTAGGGCAGATCCCCCACACTATGTTTCGGTGAGCTTGCATGGTGAGATAAGGCTGCCTGGTGAGATCTGTCCAGCATGATGAGGGCAACTATCTGGCCTGTTCTATGGGGGAAGAATACCTGGGGCGATAGAAAACTTTTGGAAATGGGTAGTGGTGATGGTTGCACAACATGGTGAATGTAATTAATGTTGCTAAATTGCACACCTAAAAATAGTTTAAATGGCAACTTTAAAAAAAATTTTTTCCCATACAATAATTTATACATATATTGTTATGTGACTAATTGCTCTCCCCATATTGTGACGGCACACTCCTCCTTCCCACCTGATTCCCCATGTCCATTGAACCAGCTCCTAACCCTCTCTGCCTTCCCATCTCACCTCCAGACAGAAGCTGCCCGTTTAGTCTCTTGTATCTACTTCAGCTAAGAGGCACACTCCTCACGAGTATCACTTTATATCCCACTGTCCAGTCCAATCCCTGTCTGAAGAGTTGGCCTCGGAAACTGTTTTAGTTGTGGGCTGGTAGAGAATCCGAGGGCCGTGCTTTCTGGGGTTCCTCCAGTTTCAGTCAGACCATTAAGTCTGGTCTTCCAACTAGAATTTGAGTTCTGCACCCCACCTTTCTCGTGCTCCGAGACTCTCTGTTGTGTTCCCTGTCAGGGCGGTCACTGGTGGTAGCCGGGCACCACCTAGTTCTTCTGGTCTCAGGCTGATGAGGTCTCTGGTTTATGTGGCCCTTTCTGTCTCTTGCGCTAATACTTTCCTTGTGTCTTTGGTGTTCTTCATTCTCCTTTACTGAAATGGCAACTTTTTATACATTTTACCACAATAATAAAAAAAAAGAATGAGCTCCACCTTCCTAGGTCTAGGAAGAGATACCAAAGACCCATAGGAAGTCTGTTACAGAGGTGAAACTGAGTACAGTCTTGCCAAGACTGGCCCCTAGAAAGGACAGGCAAGCCACACTCCACTGCGTAAATGCTGTGGGTCAGCAACAGTTCCACTGGTCAGCAGGTGATCAACCAACTGCTAAGATTAGAATGCAGTCCTAGCTATCAAAGGCAGGCACAGTGTTTGATGGGACTAATGGGGTTGAGGTAGCAATGGGATGGGTGCCAGCAGAAAGTAAATGAAAACTTGGTATTGAAATATAAATGACAGCTAACAAGATAATTATATATCCAATCAGAACTGCAGCTTCAAAGATTATTTTTACCTGGCATAATACTGTTACTGAGATTTCATGTGGGCATTTGACTTCAGATGTAGATTAATGAATGGATTAATACGTTCCTAGGCTTATCCTTTAGTACTATTTCAGAAAACTACTATTGCAAGAACCCATTGCTGTCGCAAGTTGATTCCAACTCATACCGACCCTACAGGACAGAGTAGAACTGCCTCATAGGGTTTCCCAGGCTGCAATCTTTACAGAAGCAGACTGCCACACCTTTCTCCCACAGAGCTGCTGGTGGGTTTGAACAGCCAACCTTTTGGTTAGCAGCCAAGTGCTTTAATCACTGTGCCACCAGGGCTCCTTTCCTAAACTAAACCCACTGCCATCAAGTTGATTCCGACTCATAGTGACCCTACAGGACAGAGTAGAACTGCCACATAGGGTTTCCAAGGCTGAAATCTGTACAGGAGCCAACTGCCACATCTTCCTGTGGAGTGGCTGGTGGGTTTCAGCTGATGACCTTTCAGTTAGCAAGCAAGCACTTTAACTACTGTGCCACTAGGGCTCCTCTATTGCAAGAAGCAACCTCAAAATCCCAAAAGATCAGTTGTACTGCTCTCTTAAGAAAGTTAAATAACCCAGCAGAATTAAGCTGCCTCCAAAAGCTGACCTATTAATGTGGGGGTGGGGGGATGAAAAAATCCTCTTACAAAAGCTTAATTTATGATTTTGGAGGCTGAAATTTAACTGGTCTTGCCTGCTGCTTAGAATCACCTGCAGGAGTGGGCAAGAGTGACCTTCCACCCTTACTCCCAGTGCTACCCTGGTTGCTGCTACTTCACAGGAACCAGGGATAGTGTCATTCATCTGCCTTAACTTCTTTCTTCTTTTGTGCCAGGAACTGTATTTATTACTTTATAATTTTAGTGCATTTGCACATAATTCTTAGTTTACTGTTATTTAGGTTTTTCACATTAAATTATGATTAACATCTATATACTAGTACAGAATTTTGGATACAAGTTGATTAGAAAGATATTTATATCCCCTTTCTCCAGTTTTTCCCCTAAAGTTTCCAACACTGAAATTCAGTCCTAAACTATGATGCTCTTTTCAGATTTCCTTCCAGCCACAGAGATGTTGGCAAAAGTTCTGTCAAATGCCTGCCTTAACTTTTTAAGACTGCCATCCCTGTGAGCCCTACCAGAAAACCTGAACGGGATGGACCATGGGAGACATTTCTTACACCCTCCTTCTCTACAGGTTTCCATTCTCTTCTGCTTCTCATTATCCACCCTCCCCGGCCATGGCTTCCTCCAAAAACCACAATTACCCGCCCCGTCCACAGTCCAGAGAAAAAGGCTCCAGTTCTAGCTCTGCCACTAATAAGGAGGCAGGGAATCTTGTAACTCATCTGTGAAGTAAGGGAATTAGACAAGAAAATTTCTAAGGTCCCTCTCAACATTCGGATTCCTACGTGAGCTTGTCCTTATCTGACTGAGAACAGAGAACCAAAGCATCAGGCGGTGACAGATGGGTTTTCCTGTGAATTCCTAAGCACAAGTGATTAAGGAAACCAAAAAGGAGAAGCAGAGGATCCTCAACTCCTTTTAATACTCTTTGCTTAATTTAGGCTGGCTAGAGGAGGAGGCTGGGATTGAAAGAACTAACTGCCATGGTCAGGTTTTCTAATCACTCCATTCAAAGTGACAATCCCAGTGGGGCAAGAGGCAAAGAACGAAGAGGGAGAAATCAAGGTCCTGGAGCTCTTCCTGGCCCATTCCACAGCCTCCTACATTAGATGGATCCTGGCGCCACAACCCTTCCTCCTCTACATGCCCACATTCTGCTTCTAAAATACAGCACGTGAACTGGAGCACGAAGTCCTGACATAAAAACTAAAATTCCAACTTTCATGTGTGAGGGCCTGGGTTTGAGACAAGTGCAAAATAATCCTAAAATAACCATCAAAATCTCAGAACATAAATACACCAATTTGGCTATTCTTGTGACACTGCAGGTCTTTTTAGGTGAGATCTGTGACCATCTCAAGAGATAAATTCCAGGCTGCTGCCACTGCTTTTAAAACAGATTCAGCTGTGTGTTCCAAAGCCACTATCTCCTTTTTGGCAAGACATATCCACTGGCTGCACTCTTTGGAAAGACAAACAAACAGACTGCAGATAAGAAAGAGCAATAGCTTGTTCAACTTGGTACTGGTGCTTCTTACCCACATATTCTGAGAGGAAGACGACAAAGAACGGAGTGACCAGGTCATTAATTCCCTGGACATACCCACTGGCAGGGTGTCGGATGGCCCAAATAAATAAAATTCGTTCGAAGATCTAGAAAAATGAGAAAGAAAAAGACACGAGTGTTAAATCACAGGGAAACACTCTCCCCACCTTCCATGTATCTACCTCATAATTTATCCTAGGGCTGGTGCAGAATTTTTAGGAAATTTTAAAATACAGTGGGATAAAGGAACTATATAGATGCAATACGTTTCTAAGACACTAGTTGTTTTCAAGCAGAGGTAGATACTTCTTGCCCTTTATCTTTTCAGTATCTGGTCACTCCCCTAGAACATTGGGAAAAGGAAAAGAACAGCGACACAAATGGCTCAAAAAAGGTTTGCTACGGATGTCATTAGTTCAGCCCCCCACACTCACACTATAGATAACGTTTCTCTAGGTCCAGGAGCAAGATATTGGAACATCTTAATTCTGATACTTTTTTCTAACTCTTTTTTGCTCATTGTGGGATTTAGAAAGGAAATACCTTCTCTACTACCCTCCTTCATTCCCACTGAGAAAAAGGAAGGAGATCTAGATCCAAACATAGATTTAGTTCTAACCCAGCTTGACTAGGAAATAGTGACAGACTCTACACACAGGAAGTCACTTCATATATCAGGATGCAACCCAGACACTTGCTGGAGATAAGAAGTCCAACAAACCAAATGCTATGGACTCCCACAGCTAAGAATTTGGGAACAGAGATATCAGTCAGGGCACCCACGGGAAAGCCTCTGGCCTAGGCTGAGGTGAAATGGAAGGTCTTTATGGTACCTTTACAGAGTCCTGCCCTGTCCCAATCAACTACACTCCCCTCTACCTTATTAGGCCCTCTCAGCTGTCTCCCTCATTGTCTCTCAATCTGGTAACACTTGTTCCTGGTTTCATTCTGGGGTGACCACAACTCCTGAGCCTGACACATTCTTAAGACTGGCTTTGACTGGGATGCCTCACATCTCTGTGAACCACACAGACAGATGGCAGAGGTAATGGTGAATACGTGCAGGTGGGATAGGATTTTAGAGGGCCTCAGCAGTGGACACGGCAATAGTCACGGATTCAGCACAGTCCCAGCCAGTCAATTCTAGGGTCAGAGAGAAGAGGCCATCTCAGAGGCCAGGTGTAAGGGAGGAAAACCTCCCAGGGAGACCAATAAAAAGAAAATGACTATATGGCTTTGGAGTTGGTTAGCTAGTATAAGAGAGAAGCAGAAAATCTAGAGACACAATAAAACGTGTCTCCCAGCTCCCGTGTCATAGACAGCTGAGTCGGCCTCCCAGCTGATGGACAGAGCTGAGTAAACACTTCCACTGTCAACACTCCTGCTTTTACAGGCAGTGAGAACAAGCCTCTGCCTCCACTAGACTTTGCCACTTTCTCTGTTGATAAATGACCCCTTTCCCTCCCTTGAAACCGCAGCTCAAGCTAGAACTCACCTTGTTCAGGAAGATCTCAAGGTTTCCCTGCCCCACTCCCTGTGTCCTTGCACCTATTGTGGCCTGTATATATTTGTGGTCACTCATTTGGTCTCTAATCTCTAGTAATATACTTTTGACTTAATACCTGTATGTCACTGCAATGGGCACCAGATCAGGAGATGCTGGATGCTGTTAAAAAGTAAGCTCCTCCAGGTCAGTCAGTCTGAAGACTCACGAAGGCTTCTATTCCATACTCTCAATCCCTCATGAATACACATATCCTTGATGATTGACTTTAACAATGGCCAAGTGCATGGAAGCTAGCTGTTCAGAATCAGGAGACCTGCAATAATCCCTCTCTAGTAAGGACAGGAGAGTGCAGATGGACATACTCACATCATGAGAGAAGATGCCAAAGAGATGGAAACTGAAGAGCACCAAGTCTGGTTACCAGGGGAGACCAGTGAATCTTCACTACGAAAGTCGGGGATAATCCTGTCTTATAAAGAGGAGTGAATAGGATAACCCCTGAAGGTTTTTCCTACGCCTCTTCTACTTGTTGTTGTTGTCGTTAGGTGCCATCGAGTCAGTTTCGACTCATAGCGACCCCATGTACAATAGAATGAAACATGGCCCGGTCCTGCGCCATCCTCACAATCGTTGCTATGTTTGAGCCCACTGTTGCAGCCACTGTGTCAATCCATCTTATCACTCCATCCTTTTCTACTAGTGTGGGTAATTCTGACTTACTGTAGTCAATTCTCAAGTATCTTTCAGGCTTGCAAAGCAAGCCTTTCGGTATGCAATGCCACTTTGTTCTCTGCTCCTTGGTTGGCATTTTTACTATGCTTAAGATGACTATGGTCTGCTAGATAAAAAAAAGATTCAAGAAAACTGGAAGGAATGTAGTTTGAGTTTCCTTCTTTGAATTCAGGTTCCAGTACTAGGAGAAGGCTTTTAAGCAAACTTGCCCACCCCCTAAGTTTAGAATAAGCATGCACAAGTAAAAGATTAAGTATTTGAACATCTCCAGGTTAAAGTGAGGAATAAGCAGGACTAAGCTGTGGGAAATGGAATAGGAGAAGCAAAGGGATCCTGAATGGGTTTTAAGCTTCCTTTGAGCTGAATCTTATAGGTAAAATAACAGTGCTACTCTAAGAATCTTCCAGTGGAGGCATCTACTGAACAGAATTATGAAGATAATCCAAAGTCAAACAGAAATTACCTTGGTCATTTTTACCACTGTCCTTCTCTATTATGGGGATAACTGAAAGCTCAATTCAAAGAGCACTTATACCCAGTGTCCTAGCTACTGGAAAACTACAAAGGAAACCCCTAATCTCGAGGAATTTACAGTCACTAGGTCAAAAGACTTTCACAATATAAACAATTAGAAAACAATACCAAACAGAATCAAGGCCCCAAATGCACATTACAGGCGCGGTAAGGTTAGGCCTGCATTATCAGGAAGGAGGTGACAGAAAAGGTGACACTCAAGTTTTACATGAGGGATGGGAAGAACTGTATTTATAATTTGTTGGCTCTTCCCCCAGTACCCTCACAGCATCTCTGAACTTGACGAAGGTTTGTCACTAAAGAGGAGCTAGTCCCACTGAGGCCTTTCGTGTGCTTTGTTAACTCCTTAGGTCTCAAAATACCACTACCTCCAGCTTGATAAAGTACAGTGAACATAAGAGTAAGAATTCTAAGATGGGGCGGGCAGAGGGGGGGACTCTAGTCTTCACTCTGCCACCAGCTAGTCTCAAGACCTGAGGCAAGTCTCAACCTCTCTAAGTGCTACTCAGCTCACAGGTTTCCTATGAAGATCAAATGAGAATGCATGAGAAAGTGCTCTGACAGGACCAACATAATGTACTATCACAATTATCTATAAACCTGCCTGTGGCTGGAGGGAGGGCTACCACACTCAGCCACACAGAACAGGTGCCACAAAGGAAGGGGGTAGAAGGGCCGGAGAATGTTAGGTACTTCCCTCACCTCCTGTACAAGTGGCTGTTGGAACAACGGAATGAGAGGATTCGTCCTTGGAATGTCAATGTGAATCTGAAAAAGAGAAGCAATGTCCAAAAACACAAACGCCAGGCTGTTCTTCTGACAAGTAATTTTGAGAAGTTATTTTCTTAAGAGCTAGCAATCAAAGTAAGAGTTAGAGCACAATTTATCTGTAGAAACAACTGAATGGCATAGAAAAAAGTCTAGTTAAACTTACCTGTGCATCTGGAGTGTGTTTCCACGATAGCAATAGCTTAATGAACAGTGAGGAAACCTCCCCCAAATAAACCATTTATGTCAAGAAGCAACAGGCTTCACAACCTAAGAGAATCAACTGCTTTTTCCTATTGTTCTGGAATCTATGTTTCCTTCTGGGCTGGCACTTATTTAACAGGTATAGTCAAAATGTGTATCCCTCCTTCAGAATCTTACTCATCAACAGTTCCCAAGAAGTAAAAGAGCCCTGGCAGCCACAGTGATATGCCAGGATAGAGAGGAGGACTTGCTCATGAAGTCATGACATCTAAGAAGTGGGGAAGGACCCAGGGGACTTGGCCTTCAGTAACTGGAGCTGAAAGTTCTTACTTCTGTTACCAAAGAGGTCACTATGGTTGGTTTCGGCCTCAGGGGAGAGACCTTTGGGGATTTCCCAATGCCCAATCTAACAATCCTAAGGATGTGTCAGCAGCAGCAGAGGCTACTTTAGTTCTTGGGCTGAAAATAACACACTCCAGTTGTAGACAGCTGCCCACCCCACAGTATTTTTCTACCTTCTATAACCAACGGACTACTCTTCTCCCCTTCAACATATGATGCCACCTGCAGATGTTTCTTAGGCAGTGGGGTGCACGCTGAGCGATGACAAAAAATGCCCTATCAAGACTGCTGATGGCTATACTCCTGCAGACAGGCAGACGTGGGTGCTGAACAGACACTGCAGCTGCCAAAGGACACACTCATGTCACAGTTCAGAGGGACTGGACCACTGCTGAGTGTACTTGTCTTTTGCCTTGTGTCCAATAACTCTTACTCCTCAGAGTGTAGTCTGTGGACCAGCAGCATCAGCATCATCTAGGAGCTTGTTAGAAGTACCCAGACCTACTAAATCAGAATCTGCATTTTATCATAATCCCTAGGCAGGATTTTATCAAGATCCTAGGTGATTTGTATGCACATTAAGTTTTGAGAAGCACTGCCAATGACCAGTGCCCCTAAAAAAATTAAAAACAAAAAAATATATATGTATATTTATCTCTCTCTATATATAAATATAGATATAGATAAAATCAGAGCTGCTGAACGGAAAGAAGGAAAGCAGCAACTCTGGGGGGAAAAAAATTCCTAACCAGCATGTCATTGCCTAAAGACTTAGAAAACCTGTACCCTGACAGCATTACCAGGAGAAACATCTGAAGATAATGACTATTAAAGAAAGAAAGAAGAGGCAGCAGGCAATGACTATACCTGTCTGTAGGTATCCTGGTGATGTTCTTCATTTCGAGAGTCATAATACTGCTCAATGAAGCCAAAGTATTCCTCCCGCTTCCGCTGTAGGGTCAACTTCCTCCTCTCAGTGTTTGCTGGGAGATAGCCCTACAGACAGAACTGCCAGTCAGATGGGGACAGACATTGGTTGGATGAGTCCTTAATTTTTATTTAAGCCTGAGCAGTGGCTTGGAAAGTATCAAAGGAACGGAAGAAAGGCTGCCAAGAGGACAAGGGTAAATCCCCTTCTGGTTTTGGCTACCCAGCGTCTGCCCTTTCCTCATTCAATGAGATCCACATGTGGGCAGATGAAGCCAGGCCAATTTTCTCAGTTATTTGCTCCTTTGGCCCTGCACTGACTGCGCTTGGAGTGTGTACTGGTGGTGAGCTTCCAGAGTTCGCAGAGTTGGCAGTAGAGCAGTGAATGTAGGTCAGTGGGAGGGACCTGGGCCTGTGTCATGGCCTCTGAGGGCCACATGTGTGCAGGGCCAGACTCCTGAGGATCACAGGAGTCCAGCAACCTCTACAGTGCGTGTTGTGCCAAGTGAATTGGTGCCAGTTACACATTCCTGTCCGCTGTAACATTCAGAATTACCAGCTTAGGAAGCTGAATGGAATCTTCCACATGGCAGCTACAACACCCAGCCACAGAACTTCTGGCAACAGCCTCTCTCCTAGCCAGAGCTCCAGGCCAGCTTTCATTCTTATCCCTGGTCTAGATCCCGTTCTCAATTCTTAACATCTCCTGTTCCCCTTCCGTTCTCACCAACTCTATTCTGAATACCATTCAAACTTGTTACAAATGGCAGAGGCAATGACTACATGGTTGGGAGACTGAGGTTGGGGGAGGGCTGTCAGGAGAGAGATTCTTCTCCTTGCAGACATTTACATAATGCATTCTACAGTGAATGCCTAGAGAGTAGGGATTGTGGTTTATTCATTTGTACATATCCTCACTGTACCTGGCACCGTGCCTGGCAAACAGCAGGCACTTCGATAAATCTTTATCAGATGAATGAATGAATTTTACAGGTTCAGGAAATCCAAGTGTTCCTATCGCCGTGGCAGGCACAATGCTCTGTACCCAGTGAAAGCAGGACAAGTGCAGGCTTCCAATGGAGGCCCATTTATCAACTCTGTACAGTTGTAGAGTTGGTTTCAACCACTCTGGTGATTCATACTGAAAATAGAGTTAAGGAAGGGAAAGGGGGAACTTGCCAAAGCGAGTGCTGAGATCATACTGGCTCACTATATTCTTCCTCCTCTCTGTTGAGACAGTGAGGTCATGACTATAGGAGCAAGCTGTGCTCTTCTACATGTGTGGGAATAAGAATACATTCCCACTCTACATGTGTGGGAATAAATGCTCAAGAAATGTTGTTTTACAGCTTGTAAGATTAGATAGGAGACTTAGGGGGCAGAGAGTTTATGTCAATGGGGAGAAAATTCAGAAAAGGAGGGTGAGAATGTCTGTACAACTCGAGGAGTGCAATCAATGTCACCGAATTGTAAATGCAGAAATTGTTGAATCGGCGTATGTTCTGCTGTATATATTCTCAACAACGCTAAATAAATAAATTATAAAAAACATTTTTTATAAGTCTTACAACCTAAAGACCAACAAACAAGAATGTTGCTTTATGCACAGAAACAGGACGACAGCCCCACAGCTGGATATCCTCATATCCAGCAGGATTAGAGAAGTCTATGGAGGAAGACTAATGTGCCCAGACTAACCTCAGCAGGCAAGAAGGGCTGTGTGAGGTTCACACTTCTCTACAGAGTGGGGAGAACTCACCGACAGGAGTCTCCAGGTTACAGGTCGAACCTCCCTGGGAACCCCTGGCCAGCTACACTTCCTCAGTTCATCTGCCAACAGATAACAGTCATATTGTATTAGCAATTCTCACACATGCCCTAAAACAAACCTCAACCAGCACTGCCAGATGCCTCCTGTCATTCAAGTAAGACCACCACCGCCGCTGCCGCTGCCACCTGCTACTGACAAGCACAGGGAAAAAGCCCAAAACAGCAGCTCTGAGCAGCAAAGTGCCAAGGACACAGCTCTGCGGTAGAAATCCAGTGAGCTCAGAGATTAGAGTTAGAGGGGAATATAAAGACCAGTGAGTGTAGATTTCAGTAAGAATTGACTGGCGGTAAAGGAGACCAAAGCTGGAATAGTTGCACTATGGTCTACAGGCCACAGAAACCAGACCCACCTCATTTAGTCCCTAATCTCTAGAAACATACTTCTGACTTAATACCTGCATGTCACTGCAATGGGCGTCAGATCAGGAGAAGCTGGAAAAGTAAAAGAAGGAAGAATAAAGAGCAATAGCTTCTGGGTCTCTGAGAATTCCAGTCACCAAGAGGTCCTACCTTGCCTGGGGCTCACAGGAACTCACCTAAGTCAGTGCTGTGGCTGGAGAGAAGCTGCCGGAACTTTTCTAGGCGAGTTTTCTCCCGCACAGTCATCGGGGGAGCCCCAGAAGCATTCTGGTCCGAGATCCGGGCAACAAGGGGGATGATGGGTCGGAGAGGGAGTGACTGCTGTTTGTGAAGAGGGTTCCTCAGGCATGTATCACCTGGGACAATTTGGAAGAGAAACATAACAGGTTGTTTGAAGAACACAGATTCCAAGAAACCTTAAACATAACACAACTGTTCAGTATTGCATCTCCTCTCCCAGAGCCACCACTGCACAGTGTGTGCGCTACCTGAAGGTGCCCAGCTGGGCAACACAGCTCGTGTTCTGTCATCTGCCCAGAGGAAGAACTCATTTTTACCATACATACCAATGCACCTTATGTGCTAACAGAGACTCCAGATGCTGCAGCAACTTTGAGAACTTTTTTGGCGACTCCAGAAGAGACTCAAATGTTTTCTTTCTATGCCAGCCTGAAACTTTTCTCTGTGCCTAATAGTGAAGTCCATGGCACTGTAGTCTAAGGCAGTGCTTTCCTTCCCTTTCCACATCACAGAGCACATAACAAATGACAATAACGTAAAGTACACTGCAATGAAAGGAGGTGGCCGCTCTCCAGCAGCCCCAGGCCCCACCTGGCTGTCCCAAGGGCTGAGAGGATCAATACTGCTGACACAACTTCAGTCTGTTCTTGGCCCTCCAGTGTGCCCTGCATACTGGGTGAGAAGCTCTGGCCTAAAGCAATCCCACTTTGGGGTGGCTGCAGTTCCTTTGTGTGCCTATATTTCCCGACAAAATGAACAAGCTTTTAATTCTGTCAGGACTTGACTGAACTGAGAGGAACACAGACTCAAGCTGAACTCTATGTCTTGCTCCAGACATGTCTAAACAGACAGTGGGTAGGAGAAATGAGCAACAGAGGACTAACATTTATTGAGTGCTTAGTATGCATAGGAAACCCTGGTGGCACGGTGGTAAGAGCTATGGGTGCTAATGAAAAGGCTGGCAGTTTGAATCCACCAGGTGCTCCTTAGAAACTCTATAGGGCAGTTCTACTCTGTCCTATAGGGTCGCTATGAGTTGGAATCAACTTGACGGCAATGGGTTTAGTATGTATAAGGTATTGTGCTGGTCACTTTTACTTACGATCTCTCATTTGATCCTTACGACATATGGTGGGAATTTATTACTGTTTTACAGATGAGGAAACTGTGGCTCAGAGAGGTTAAGTTATTTGCAAGTAAGAGCTAAGATGCCACCTTAGATATTATGCCTGACTCCGAAACCCTTGTTTATTTAACCACCCCGTTATGGATTGAATTTGTTCCCCAAAAATACGTGTTGCACGCTAGGAGCCCTAATACATGGCATAAACACAATATGAACCATAAGTAACAATGTACACGCACCAGAAAAGAAACTAGATAACTGGGAAATCCTAAAAATCAAACACTTATGCTCATCAAAAGACTTCACCAAAAGAGTAAAAAGACAACCTAGAGAATGGGAAAAAATTTTCGGCTACAACAAATCCAATCAGTGTCTAATCTCTAAAATCTCCAAGATACTGCAAAATCTCAACAACAAAAAGACAAATAACCCAATTAAAACATGGGCAAAGCATATGAACAGGCACTTCACCAAAGAAAATATTCAGGCGGCTAACAGACACACAAAGAAATGCTCGCAATCATTAGCCATTAGAGAAATGCAGATCAAAACTACAATGAGATATCATCTCACCCCAACAAGGCTGGCCTTAATCCAAAAAACACAAAATAATAAATGCTGGAGAGGTTGTGGAGAGACTGGAACACTTATACACTGTTGGTGGGAATATAAAACGGTACAACC